AAACCATTTCAGGTGACTACCTCTTGAAGCTCATGGAGAGAATGCCAAGAGTGTGCAAAGCAGTAATCAGAGCAAAGGGTGGCTATTTTGAAGAAACTAGAATATAAAACATGTTTTCAGTTATTTCACCTTTTTTTGTTAAGTACATAACTCCACATGTGTTCATTCATAGTTTTGATGCCTTCAGTGAGAATCTACAATGTAAATAGTCATGAAAATAAAGAAAACGCATTGAATGAGAAGGTGTGTCCAAACTTTTGGCCTGTACTGTATATATATAAAAGCATAATTATAAGGCTACAAAAACCAAATGAATTTTATTTTATAGCGATTATACACTTGTATAAACATATTAATGGGTAGAATATTCAGATTCAGATTCAGATTGACAATAAACCATGCCAAATATTACACACTGGCCCTTTAAGCTGTTGGGAATGTCATTATTTTTCAGGTATTTGGTCATAAAGTGGACAAATTAAAACTTTGACTTCATGATGACACTCAATGAAAAGTTGAGAGATCACAATTCATCCTAACGCTGCAGTCCTACAATACGCAACCAGTTTGTTTAAACTTATGTCCACTCTGCCTGGCCAGTCACTTGTGTCTGCAGTTTGACTGGCTGTCTTGATGTGAGCACTGTCTGAATTTTAAAAATTGTCACACCCTCTCATTGTATCACCAGTTTGGTCTGCATAACACGTATCCTAACATGCTTTGTGCAGTGAATCAGTCACTTCCAATACACAATGAATGGGAGCAAACTCCTGATTGTGTATAGGGCTGCACTGTACAGGGGACAATGAATATCTGTTTGAAACTTCATGAAAGTCTTTATTAATAGTTGTTGAGATTTTGATCTAGACCTAATTGGTGGAACAACATAGCCATCCATAGAGCCTGGCTAAAAACTAAAAATTTGTACACATTTTTAGTACTTTTAATCCCAGCTGTTTTTAAGAAATGCTGGAAAACTAAACCTCTTTAGGCTTTGAACATTTATTTAAACACAATTCTCCCTCTTTAGTGAGCCGCTAACAATTCGTAGACATTGGAATTAGGGCTGGGCAGTATATTAATATTATATTGATATTGTGACATGAGCCAAGATATCGTCTAAGATTTTGGATATCGTAAAACTGTATGTGTTATATCTTAAAGGCTGCATTACAGTAAAATGAACTTACCAGACTGTTTCATTATTTGTCTTTGCCTACGTAGTCATTATCTCCACATTACTGATGATTACTCATTGAGTAAATATTTTGTGAAAGCACTAATAGTCAACTCTACAACACCCTCACAATATTGATATCAGGGTATTTGGTCAAAAACATCATGATATTCTCCATGTTGCCCAGCTCTATGTTGACCATGTTACTTTAGTGTGTTAGCATGCTAACATTAGCACTAAGCAAAGTACAGCTGAGGCTGATGGGAATGCAATTAGTTTTGCAGGTATTTGGTAATAAATCAAAGCACTAGACACATTAAAACAACTTAATGATGAAATGAAACACACACAATTCATTGTGAGGGGGAATATGTTCTAAAACTTCACAGAAATCCATTTAATAGTTGTAAAGTTTTAAATATGAACCAAAGCAGTGGACCAACACACCAATAGAGCCATGATACCGGCATGGTTAAAAACTTTTTTAAGATTATTTTATGGCATATTGCCTTTATTAAACTGGACAGTATTAAGTGTAAAAGGTGGAGAGACAGAGGGGGATGATATGCAGCAAAGGGCGACAGGCTGGAATCAAACCCGTGGTCACTATGGCAAAGACATTTTAGCTACTAGGTGCCTTCTGTGTGGTTAAAAACTTAGCTTTACAAGACAAATTTGTTCACATTGTTATACTTTTAATCTATGTTTTTTATGAAATGTTGCAAAATGGTACCTCTTTTAGCATCGAACAGTTATTCAAATTGAATTATCATCTCTTCTGGGAAAAAGCTGCTGTCAGCTCATAGATTTCTAAATGTGACAAAGGGTTCAGAGTAGACACTGGAACCACTCGGTTTATTTAACAATGTCTTGTGATTTAAATACAATTGAAAAAAAAACTATTTCATGGGGAAAAAAAAGAAACCTCAGAAAGAGCAGCTGAGGAGGGTTCCCTCTCCCAGGGCGGACAGATGTGCAATAGATGTCGTATGTACAGATTACACCATCATAATAAAATTACAGTTTTATATAATCCAACTTTATAAGCTTAGAATATTTTTATTGTAAAATCTTACTGTGTAACTCATAACTACAGCTGTCAAATAAACATGGTGTCGTAAAAAGTACAATATTTCCCTCTGAATTGCAATGAAATGAAAGCACTTGAGTACTTTCTACTGCTGCAAACACTGAATCTGTTCTTGGCTTCTCAAATTCAGGACTTAACTGTCCACAATATCTCAAGAAAGGATTTAATTTCTTTTCCTGTTGCCCTGTGTGATTTTCTCATCTTGTGCACATGCTGTTTGAAACCCTCCTATTGTTCCCTGTCACTCGTCCACACCTGTTGCTGCAGTTGAGCTGTGGCAGCCATGCCGCAGTAACAGCAGCCCCCCTTTCTTAAGATCTTGTTTTGGGCACAGTCTTTGTGGCTGCGCTGGCTGGACTCTCCCTCGTCTCCCTCGTCTGTCCCACGGGCATTCTCCTGTTCCTAAATACCATATGTTCCTTCATGTTGAGCACATTAATAATTTCCTGCCTGTTATCCATTGACATCACAGTGTGTATCTTTCTTGGATGATTAATAGGCTGCGAGCATAAGAAAAATGAATAAAATGCACAAACTGAACTCGGCCTTCCTCTTTGCTTGGGGAGGAAAAAGCTGCTTTTCTTTAAGTTATTTTGGCTGTAGGCCACTGAATGAAATGTATATACCCCTTCCTGCAGCGATAAGGCATGATTGTCTTAGCAAATGACAGATTATGGCTGGAGGTCCAAAAGAGGGCATAATATCCCCAGGGAAACATGAAGTAGGGCTGTGTTGCTATTCTCTCTGATGTCCAATATTTGCTCCATTTCTCTGGAGTGCTCTTATCTACTTGTTGATCTTTATTCAAGATATGATGCAGCTTCACAGGACTTCATGGTGGATTAATTTATGGGAATGTAAGCAATGACGAATGGAGATAAAGAAGTTTGTATACTTGTCTTATCCACTTGAAAATATGGGTTATGTTTGCCTTTAGTTTTGGTAATGATGCCCCTCTGATATGCAGTTTCTGTGTCTGAATGTGAGTGTCTTCTTTGAGTGCGAATCCCTTGAAAGCCCACAGACACCAGAGAGAGTGCAGTGGGGGATTACAGGAGGAGCGGGGCTCCACGAGCCTAGTAGGAAATGATACATAACGTGATTTGTGTTTTTTTTATGAGCAGAGCTGTCAGCGCCTTTGGTGAGCCACTGTCCAAGATCCGGTCAAGTCCAAACTTGATCCCCGTGGGGACAGCGTGATCTGAGCCCGGCCCCCTCTTGCACTGTTACAGGCCAGAACAAACACGGCTATTTATAAGTGCACCACGGCACAGTTTGCCATTTGTGAGTGCAGTTAACTCGTTTTTTTTTTTTTTTGAGGAGTCTGTCTGCTGTCTCCTGTGCAGCTGTCGTTGCCAACCGGGACAGGGAGCAGATGAGCCTTTTAACAGGGAGATACTGTGGGACTGCTGGGTTTATGAGGGGAAACCGGAGCTTGTAATAGGTCTGCAATTCACAATATCAAATTTAGGGCATCATGTGCATGTGCCTCTGGCATGGCGTCAACACACTTTATACCATTTATAATCATTTATAAGACTTTTTCAATTAAATTTATTTGGAATTAAAAAAAAAAACAAAGGCTCAGCTGAGATTAACAATACCACACTGACCACTGAAGCAACAGGTCAATTAGTTTCAGTACCAGTCTTCCTCTGACATAAATCACAGTGAGGACTACAGTGTGGAAGTGTTAGCCTATGTGTGTAGGGATTATCCATGGGCGGATTACGGGACAATGGGCCCCTGGGCACAGATATGCAAATGGCCCCACCACCTTTCCTATAGGAGCAAGAAATACAGACTTCATTGATGTTTAGCCTCTTTTTTAAATTAATTTTGTGTCTCTTTGTAGTCCTTTTATGTCTCTTTGCAGTCATTTTGATTCTTTTCATGGTCATTTTGTGTCTCTTCAGAGTCATTATATGTCTCTGTGGTCGTTATGTGTCTCTTCGCAGTCATGTTAAGTCTCTTCCTAGTCCGTCTGGGTCTCTTTATAGCCGTTTTGTGTCTCTTCATAGTCATTATGTGTCTCTTGGTAGTCATTTTGTGTCTCTTCATAGTCATTTTGTGTCTGTTTGTGGTCACTGTGGGTCTCTTCGTAGTCATTTTGTGCCTCTTTGTAGTCCTTTTATGATTCTTCGTAGTCATTTTAAGTCGCTTTGTAATCATTTTTTGTCTCTTCGTAGTCATTTTGTGTCTCTTTGTGGTTGTTTTGCCCCTTTTGTAGTCATTGTGAGTTTGTTCGTGGTCATTTTGAGTCTCTTACTGGTCAGTATGTGTCTCTTCAAGTGACATTTTGCAGGTGGAGGCCAGGGGGCCCCTGACACTTTGGGCCCAGTAGGCCTGTTCAGTAATCCATCCCTGGGATTGTAAGGCTTGTACTGTGACAGTGCCCATACTCCAAAAATATTTTCAAGCATCACCTTTATGTGCTAATCCTTTTTTAAAAATTGCTCTTGCCCTCTTTTGCATTGTATTTTGTTGTTTAAGCAGGTATACACACGTTTTCTTTAAGACTGTAATTAATGATGACTGGTTATGATTATCAACATACATCATACTTGTGGTAGAAGTTGTTCAAACATTAAAAGTTGTGGGTTAATACCTGCACCGGAGTCCTTGTTCTCCTTGCTCTCTGTCCCGGGCTCCTCAGCCTGCCGGTCGTTATCGCAGCTCCCCTGATCCAACCGTGCCTCCGTGCTGCTGCAGCAGTAGCGCAGCTCGCATTTCCCGCAGCAGATGATCGCATCCTCTCCGTCGATCTTCTCCGGACACTGGAACCCTTCTTTCCACGCGCCCTGGGAGTCGCGCCAGCCATGGCAATACTCCCCGCTGGCTTTCACGTCGATAATAACCAGGAGGAGAGTCACAATCGCGGTGACAGACATCGGGAACCCTCTTCCCCACATCCTCAGCCGGGTGGCCTCACGCTGGCGCACTGAGAGAGACGGAGAGGTTTTCACTCCCTGCGTCTAACCTGGTGATACGGTGGGTCGGTGCGATACAGGGAGCTGAGGGGATGAAGTGAGGGAGCAATAAACCACTTAGAAGCTGTCATTTGTCAGAGGAATCCCGTGCGTAAATCAGATCCAACGTCTCCAAAAGTGACTCCGCAGTGTGGCTGATTATCCAAGAGTTGCAGAAAACAAAACTCAGAGTAGCTGCTATTGAACTGTAACAGAAATCAGAGTTAAGCTTGACTGATACTCCACTTGCAAACCTTCAGAGCTCTAAAATCCAGTATGAACAGACTAAATGATCTCCTGTGGCACCGCAGCAAGGCTGTTCATGTCTCCTCCTGACTCTTAAATGACTTTCCTCAGGGATGCAAGGAAACCAGCACTTGTAGCCTGATCCATGCTGCTGTCACTCCTGAGACCCCTCACAGCCAGCCCCGTGCGCAAAGATAAGATTTCAAACTTTTGTGACTCGGTCTGCATTGTTGGGGCGTCGGGAGTCAGTCATCCAAGTCTGGGTCAGTGTAGCCCGATTGAACTAGAGCGCGCAGAGTCTATCCTACTTTGCGTCAGAGTGAGAGGGGCGTGCAGAGAGTCAGATGCAAATACACATCCCTCTTAATCGAGTAATAAACTGTCGGAACTACCAGTGTCAACGAAGAAAGAGTTAAATACAACTTCCGATTGAAACCTTTTAAAAATAAAACCATGACGCGGAATAAAAAGTGCATATTTGCGACTTCATGGAGTAGCTATAGGAAGGCACTAAGATGAATATAGAAATTGCCAGCAAGCATTTAGCTGCAACTTGAGGAATTTTTGGCATTATTCTTTATCCTTCCAGTCCTGCTCCAGAGATATTTACTTAAATAGCTGTAAATTATGACTTTATTCGCTGTCACTCACTTTCATGTATCACTATAAATGCAGACTTTCCCCAAGCCTAACTTCTACATCGACCACTAATACAATATTCACTAAACCATGCTTTTATTTTGACAGCGACCTAGTTTCCTTCCTGTTTAACATTGTTGCCGACTTGACGCAGCGCCTCTCATCATTCTCCATCCGAGATTTGCTTGCAGCAATTGTCCCAAAGTTCAGTTAAACTTTTCCAGGCATAGTTTTGTGGTAACTGCCTCCTGGTGAAAAGCAGCTGAGAGTTTTGGCAGTTTGGCTCATCGCCTGCTAACATCCCTCGTCTGCTCCCTCTGCCCACCAACTGAGATTTATATGGTGACAATGCCATCTAGTGGAGTTTCCAGATGCTTGCTCCTTTGTGAACATCTGGCAACACCATTAGAGAAACTAGAAGTTACAAATGCAACTTTTGAAATGACCTGGTGGGTGTTTTAAGGAGACTTGTTTTTTAAGGACAATACTGGATCATATGTGTGATTCTAATATTATCATAAATGTTTAAAATGTATTTTAGACAGTGTTATTACCAAGTGGCCCCAAGTACTTCTCCTTTCCTTGAGTAATTCCACTATTCTACTTAATAAATAATGCATCACATCTTAGAGGTGAATATGGTGCCACTTTTTACTACCTGTACATGACAGCTTTAGTTATAAACTACTTCACAGGTTAGGATTTTACATGCTACAAAACCAAGCATTTTATATGATGAAATATCTTGAACAATGGTGGGAAGTTATTACATAGCCTATATTTACTCAAATATTGTACTTAAGTACCATTTTTTAAGTTCCTGTACCTTAACTGAGTGTTTATGTTCTGTGCTACTGAATGAGCTTATGAAATTGCAATACATTGCTGTGGGCTGAACTTTATATAGTAGGCCTTAAAGAGCTGCAACTGTAAAAAAGCTGCTGACATAGTATGCATCCATAATAATAATTACATAATAAAATATGTAGTAGGCTAATAAAACACTGACAGGTTCCATTCAGCCCCATGTGGGATTTTTTTTGTATATTTTGCTAATAATATGTCTGAATGCAGCACTTCAACACTATCTGCTACTTTTAGATAAAAGGTCTAAATATTTCTTCCACCACTGGTTACTACCCAGCAGCAAATAAAGCCAGTGGTGAAATGTAATTATGTATATTTACAGAGTACTGTACTGAAGTACAATTTTAAGGGTACTTGTAGGCCTACTTTACTTGATTATTCCCCCCCCCCCCCTTTACTATCTGCAAGAATAGAGCATGATCACATTAATTCATCAATAATTATAATATTCTTAAATGGGCTGTAATAAATAGCCTACTTTTACTTTTTGTTTTTTAAGTATGTACCAATAGCCTATTTTTGCATTTTTACTTGTGTAAGATTTTTAATGCAGGGCTTTTACTTCAGTAAAATATTTGAATACCTACTTCTTCCACCACTGAAAGAAGCAGTTAGCTCCCACTCCACAAGCTAGCTACTACATTAAAATTGTTCTTAAAAAAACAGTGTGTATCAGTAGTAATGACTAAATTATCTAATTTTGCAGTATATAACACTCACGCCGTCTATTTTAATGTAAATTTAATTTCTATACTTACCTTGGTACTTACTTTTTGACACTTCCAGATTCCTCTTCTGCCGCTGAGCCGCCTTGCTCGCCGGTACTTCATTTCCCATGATGCCCCGCCGTGAAGCGGTGTCCGTGGCAACATCACAGGAAGTGGCGCGCAACTGTTGAAAAACTGTCACACAACAAACTGAAGAGGAGATGTTGATGCTTTTCAGCTTCGTCAAAGCGTTGGTGGCGAACTTACAGACGACCTGAAACACTTTTCTGATATAACTAACCGTGCCTTCGGAACTTAAAACGTAAGTGTTGTTTAAATATTTGGCTAGCTTCGTATGAAATCACGTTTTAGCTAACCTTAAGCAAAACTGTTCGCCGAGTGAAAACAGATAGCTAACGTTACCTTACTGGTGCACAAATATCTGTAGGACAACTATGTTGAGGGAAACTTCACTCACTCACACGTTTGCTGAAACATTCAGTTAGTGTGGACATGTTACTAAACAACTCTGTTCATACTGTGAAGCCATAGGACCAGTAGTTGGTGAGGTGGGTGTAACTTACTGCTAGGTAGATGGGTAACAGTAGGTTACAGAGGTGGAAACTGGTTTACTCCCCTATATATCCCAATGGCTTTGAGGCTAATAGGTGGGTGTTCTGTAAATGGGCAGAAAAAGAGGTCGTTATACACTGTATACCTGCATACACTCTCCACCACACCACTACATAGGACTAACCTTTTCATATTGTCTGATCAGATGTCATTTGTGAGAGTTGGGCGTCCGCAACAACACACCAAAGGAAAAAGGCCTGTTCGCACCAAGAAGGCTGCAGCTCCCAAAAAAGACTGGGTGGTGAGTACTGACATCAAAGTATGTCCTTGTACCCTTTTTAGACACATTCTTGCTACTCAATCGGGACTTGTGTTTGCTGTGAACATTTATCCGCCATAGTAATTTCTTCTTCTATAAATAAGAAATGACCTCTACGTTTTAAATTCATTTAGTAACGACAGCTGTCTCTTGTTGGTTTCAGAGCACTGTCAATGACCTGTCTGTGCACAAGCTGTCACCTGCGGAGCTGGTAAGATGTTTAACCCTGTGCTCGTTCAGTAGTTCTTCGTACATGTGATGTGTACAACTGTAGAACAATTTAAACTGTTTCATTTCATACTATGCATTAAATTAGCACCTGAACATCATTTTAGTGAGCTGATAGTACTGAAACAATTAAAAGGGTTGTCTGCAGCCCATATTTGCTTGTCTGATTGTTCACTTCTGCTTCAGAGCCATCGTCATGAGATCCACAAGTCCCACAACAAGGCAGCGGCTCAGTGGGAGTTGAGAGAGAAAGCCCTGCAACGCCGTTTCAGACACGCTGGAAGCCCTGCACCTCTCGACAAGGCCAGCCTTAGCATCATCAGGGAGGTGTGTGCAACCTCTTATTGTTAGTGTCTCTTTTGCTTACTCGATATTTTTTGTTTAAGAAGATTTCGCTGCTGGGGATGGTGGTGTGTTTTACTGCTGCAGGTGTTCTCTGACCAGCTGCTGCTGCAGGATGTGCTGGCTCGGTCTGACAGAGCCATGGCTGTTGTCAAAGACTTGTTTGGAGACGCCCCACGCAGGCAGACTGGTAGATTATCCATCATAGCCATAAATACAGTACCAATAAAACATGTGGAAAATCTGTTCCCTACTCATAGATATAAGCATATGCAACACATTTTCACCCTTTTGAATGAGATATATGATTTTCCCAGAAGATTAGGTGGTGTATACAGTGTGTTTGTGAATTTCTGCAGGGCACCCCAGTGTGACGATGGCACCAAACTGTGACTCTGACTCAGAGCCTCCTGTTCTCCAAAGACCAGATCCTCCAACTCAGCTCTCACTGCTCAGCCAGTCTATGATGGATCCACAGGTGTGTGTGTTTTCCCTTAATAATAATACACTCTTAGTCTGTGTCTTTTTATAACCTAGTTTTATGTTTTTGCCTAAAGAGTTCAATCTGTATTAACGTGTTTTCATGCGTAAAATTTCCCCTCAGGCTCTTAATGAACTTGAAGCTTCAGAGGAAGACCACAGTGATGAAGATACCCATCCTACTGGCACTTCAGGCCATCATGTGATCCAAAGGTAATAATGCCTGTGAAATAGACAGTACTTGCACAACACTGAGCAATCTGAGATAAGAGACCGCCTTGTGTTTCTTTATAGGTGGAAAACATAAATTAGTGATCACTACTGAAGCTTCAGATCCTGATGACATCATTACATTGCTTGTGATACTTTTCTTTTCAGGGCCAATTTACGAAAAATGAAGGCACAGTCTCGGGGTAGAGGGATACAGCGACAGAAAGCCCATCATCCCAACTCTGACCAGGCTGATCGGGATAATGTTCCTGTAACCCCCTGCACATCAGGCAGAGCACCAGACCAAACAGGTACAATGAAAAGACGAGAACAGCAGTTAAAAAATATTTATTTCATGCAGTCATCACAAGGAAAGGTTTACTTTTAAATCAGGTTTGAAATCCTTTTTCATTTACAAACTCATCCCACCTTATTACAGCTCTCAACGCCACAGTGGCTGTTGAGCGTGTTCGGTCCAGACAAAGCCAGTCAGAGGAAGGCAAGGAGGAACCGTCAGTCCTGGTTTCTCAGGTCCTGAATCCTGAGCTGCCTCTCAACCAGTCAGGTAATATCAAGAGGGTATCTTCATATGACAGCCTGTGACAATGTGTCATCAGATGAACAACTAAATGCTGCAATAAACAGAAGAAATTAATGATATCTTTTTTGGTTTCTCTGTATGTGTTTCTCAGGCAGGATCAGTAGTCGTACCAGCAGGAACAGGAAGTGTGTTTCTCAGAGCTCAGAGCTGGATGGCTCCTCCGTTACCTCTCTCAGTGGGGACCAGTCCAGTCTGGGCCTCCTGCAGGCCATGTTGGGTCAGGTGGAGGCAGACTTGGATACTCTGAGTCCTGACAGTGAACCAGCTTCAGCACAGAGTCAGAAACCACACAGAACACAAGGCCTCACTGGATTCTCTGTCGCCTTGGTGTCCACTCTGGGACGTTTGGTGCACCTTCTCAAACAGG